ACGAGTGTGTGTGTGTGTGTGTATGTATGTGTGTGTGTGTGTGTGTGTGTATGTGTGTGTGTGTGTGTGTGTGTGTATGTGTGTATGTGTGTGTGTGTTTATGTGTGTGTATGTATGTGTATGTGTGTATGTGTGTGTATGTGTGTGTGTATGTGCGTGTGGGAGCTCACTATATGTGGCTGCAAGGATCGAGTCCTAGCTGCTGGCCCCGCCTTTCTGCTAGATTCATGCGTATAGCATGCCTGTGGCTGCAAGCACAGAGCTTACAATACGATGACTCTACCACCATCACTGTCGTGGCTGTATCAGCGGCACCAACCCACAAGTTGAAGTATAACACATATGTGCAACACTTGGCCAGTTCTATTGTCGCAACTTATCGCCTGCACAAGATGATTCTTCAGCTGAATACAGGTGAATGTAACACTGGAGACAGTGCAGGTGGTCAGTCCCTCAGACTTCCTACGAGGTGGTCAGTCCCTCAGACTTCCTATGAGGTGGTCAGTCCCTCAGACTTCCTACGAGGTGGTCAGTCCCTCAGACTTCCTATGAGGTGGTCAGTCCCTCAGACTTCCTACGAGGTGGTCAGTCCCTCAGACTTCCTACGAGGTGGTCAGTCCCTCAGACTTCCTACGAGGTGGTCAGTCCCTCACCTCGCTCTCTCACTTTAAATACAAATGTGCTGTCATTATATGTTATTGTACCTGTCATTGTATGTCATAGCTTTCATTATACTTGTCACTCTTGTTATATCTCTCATACTTTTCAGCGTAGCTGTCATACTTTTTCATTATATATGTCATACCTTTCATTATACCTGTTATAACTCATTATGCCTATCATACCTGTCATCATTCCTTTCATTATGCCTATCATCCTATCTTCTATCATAGCTGTCATCATACCATCCATCATAGCTGTCATCATACCATCCATCATAGGTATCATTATACCAACCATCATAGGTATCATCATACCATCCATCATAGGTATCATTATACCAACCATCATAGGTATCATTATACCAACCATCATAGGTATCATTATACCAACCATCATAGGTATCATTATACCAACCATCATAGGTATCATTATACCAACCATCATAGGTATCATCATACCAACCATCGTAGATATCATCATACCAACCATCATAGATATCATCATACCAACCATCATAGGTATCATTATACCAACCATCATAGGTATCATCATACCAACCATCGTAGATATCATCATACCAACCATCATAGATATCATCATACCAACCATCATAGGTATCATTATACCAACCATCATAGGTATCATACCAACCATCATGGGTATCATCATACCAACCATCGTAGATATCATCATACCAACCATCATAGGTATCATTATACCAACCATCATAGATATCATACCAACCATCATAGGTATCATACCAACCATCATAGATATCATCATACCAACCATCATAGGTATCATCATACCAACCATCATAGGTATCATCATACCAACCATCATAGGTATCATTATACCAACCATCATAGGTATCATTATACCAACCATCATAGATATCATCATACCAACCATCATAGGTATCATTATACCAACCATCATAGATATCATCATACCAACCATCATAGGTATCATCATACCATCCATCATAGGTATCATTATACCAACAATCATAGGTATCATTATACCAACCATCATAGGTATCATCATACCAACCATCATAGGTATCATTATACCAACCATCCTAGGTATCATTATACCAACCATCATAGGTATCATTATACCAACCATCGTAGATATCATCATAGTCTTCACGCGTCAAACACACCTCTCTCTTGTGTCAAGTCTCTTTGTCTGACCTTGTTTACCTTCCCACACAAGCCTTCCAGACTACCTCGTTATATCCTGTGTGTGTGTGTGTGTGTGTGTGTGTGTGTGCATTGAGTGTATATGAAAGTTTGTAAGATATACATGCCATCTCACGTGTTTATGAACCTGAGACCCTGACTTCTGCCAGAGTTCTTAACGTTTACCAGGCTTCCGTTTCACACTTGTATGGCGAGAGTGTAGCAGTGTCTCTCTGGATGGTTGCTGTCTAGTCTTGTAAACCACTACACCAACACGTGATTGTAAACTGCCTTACATATATTTACACACATCCCCTGTAATCACGTATTCATACACATTACTTTGTTTACTTCCACATTCCCTGTATTTACAGATACACACACATGTATATATACTTACACCTCTGCATGCACATATACTTACAGTGTTTATATATACCTACATCTCTTAGTTTAAATTTTTACATAAGCACAGTGTTTATATATACCTACATCTCTTAGTTTAAATTTTTACATAAGCACAGTGTTTATATATACCTACATCTCTTAGTTTAAAATTTTACATAAGCACAGTGTTTATATATACCTACATCTCTTAGTTTAAATTTTTACATAAGCATCTTCACGGCGGTGCGTGAGAGCATTATTGACAGCCTCCCCGCCAGTTTAGCCTCGTTTTCATGTCTTGTGTCGACAGCATTCCGCCTTTTTCACCAAGGCTTCTTTGTAAGTTGTTTACACTCAGTCTGGAGCCCTGCAGCCATGATGCTTGCTCTCTCTCACTCTATCTCTCTTAGTTCATAAGCAGATCCTGCACTCAAGACTACCAGCTAAGACCTGTCAACAACACGTTTACACTAGCATCAAGAAATTGTAGTCCCTATATTAGGAATTAGTCTTCTGTGTATATACACTGATATACACTTGTGTATATACCCTGTGTGATGTGAGCAGAAAGCCTAGACTGGGTGATATGTTGATAAGCACGTGAGGGTTTTGTAGCAACTGGGGAACGACAGGTAAAGTGGTGTGATACGAGGAAGGAGACGATAATCTCTGGTTTCTTTGCTATACTGCTGTGGAAAATAGTAATAATAAAGTCGATTTTATTCCAAGGAATTTATTTTTTACATACTTTTCATGTAAGGATCAAGTCTCCCCCAAATTCTGCAGTGAAATTACCTAGTTTTTAATATATGCTTGAGAAACGTCTCGTAAAAGTGCATTGAAAGTTGTGGTAAGATCCAACAAAACTTTATATATATTTTCGTTAAAATCTCCATAAAAGTTTGACATAACAATGTACATGTGAGACAATCACGGTGGGTTGACCAGAATGTCTTTTTACGATATACAGCATATACACACCCAGAGGTGTATGTGTCAGAGTATAATATATACGCTGGTGGAGACATGCGACCTTATTAATGACCCTCGTGTGTTCAGTACGCCTTTAAACTTAATTATCCAACCTGTACGTAATAATAATAATATTTCTACAAGTAAATGTACAACGTGTACAGACTTGTAGACAACACGATGGTTATTAAGGTTGTATGAAACCTGTAGACAACACGAGGGTCGTTATAATCTTTATTTCTACAAGTACATGTACAACGTATACAGACCATAGCTGACATCAATGACATACTACTATATAGAAAGCCGCTTGTTATGCAGAGCATTTCGGACAGATTAGGTCAGTTTTGTCCCAGGATGCGACCCACACCAGTCCACTAACACCCAGGTACCTATTTTACTGATGGGTGAATATGGACCGCAGATGTCTAAGGAAACACGTCCTAATGTTTCTACCCCTACCGGGGATCGAACCCCGGGCCTCAGTGTGTGAGCTGAGTGTGTTAGCAATCGAATTACTCAAAAAAAATCGTCTTAGCACGATTGTAACAAAGCAGGGAAGGGGGGGGTTTGAACCCAAGTGATTCCTAAAACTCGCAGGCCGGTGCGCTAACCACTCGGCCAACTGGTTCTAATAAAGTACATACATAGGTGGTGTACACAGGACTCCCTTATCATAGGTTCAAGGCCTTCCCGTTCCGTGATGTGTTGTGTTACTGGTAGTTTCCACCTACCTGCTCTCTCCTGGAGTATACCTGGAGAGGGTTTCGGGGGTCAACGCCCCCACGGCCCGGTCTGAGACCAGGCCTCGTGGTTGATCAGAGTCTGGTCAACCAAGCTGATACTGCTGGCCGCACGCAAACTGACGTACGAACTACAACCCGGCTGGTCAGTTACTGACTTTAGGTGCCTGTCCAGTGCCTTCTTGAAGACAGTCAGGGGTCTATTGGTAATCCCCCTTATTTATGCTGGGAGGCAGTTGAACAGTCTTGGGCCCCTGACACTTATTGTGTTGTCTCAGTGTACTCATGGCGCCCCTGCTTTTAATTGGGGGAATGTTCCATCTCCTGCCGAGTCTTTTGCTTTCATAGGGAGTGATTTTCGTGTGCAAGTTTGGTACTAATCCCTCTAGGATTTTCCATGTGTATATTATCATGTATCTCTCTTGCTTGCGTTCCAGGGAATACAAATCAAGGGACTTCAACCGTTCCCAGTAATTTAAGTGCTTTATCGCAGTAATGTGTGCCGTGAAAGTTATTTGTACATTCTCCAGGTCAGCAGTTTCGCCTGCCTTGAAGGGGGCAGTTAGTGCACAGTAGTATTCCAGCCTAGAGAGAACAGGCTATTTGAAGAGAATCGTAGGATTGGCGTCCCTAGTTTTGAAGGTTCTCGTTATCCATCCTATCACTTTTTTTAGCAGATGCGGTAGATACATTGTTGTGGTCTTTGAAGGCGAGATCATCTGACATTTTTCACTCCCAGGTCCTTCTCACTGTTTGTTGTCACCACTTCTCAGAAGATGACCTGATACGTAGTTTGTAAGATCTGCTGTCTTCATTTTCCACTCTTATGTACTCAGGGAATCGTATTTTCTCTGATGTGCTCTCATATGCACTCATGTACTCTCTCTCTCTCTCTCTCTCTCTCTCTCTCTCTCTCTCTCTCTCTCTCTCTCTCTCTCTCTCTCCATTTTTCCACCTCTGTGTAGTGATGGACTCATATTTTCTGTAATCGCTGTCACATGTACTCATATACTGCCTTGTACTCACTCACGTCTCTCTCTCTCTCCTTCAG